GAGCGGGTATAATCTCGAATACACGATACGAAGGACTACCTCGTAGTGATTTTAAAAATAATTAAAATAACTCATATCAACAGCAGAATAGGTATCATGATCAACCATTCTCATATTATTAAATAGCTCAAGTTAATGAACAACAGATCGACAATCAGAATCATCACGCTAATAGGCAGTATAATAACTTCGTCGTCTCATACTCTAAGAGGTCCACTACTGGGACTGGTACATTTATTATTTCATTTGATATATTTAGACATTTGGCATACACCCTACCATTATTGTTCGTTGCGATAAAATTACCAAACAAAATACCCTCTGTAAGCTTTTGTAGTGGGACCCAGCCCACTTTAATTTTCCTGTGCGACTNTTAGCCTTTTCTCGCTACATAAATGCAAAAACAGTGGTGCTGCTTCCATCGTTGGTAGCCAAGTAGTGCACTAAATTAGGTGGCTTTATCTGGGCTTAACTAAAAGCGAAAACATAGTCCTACTGAGTAAAACAAGAATCTTTCAATTTTAAGCCCCGAATGAAAAGTTGTAGTGATTTTATGAAAAATACTAAACTTTAGCCAAAATTACATTAATATCGACATTTAGGCTCTAATTGAAACAGCTGTAATTTTTTAATGGAGGCATAAAATTGAACAAAATTTTTTTTTTATTAATAGGTCTTGATCTCAGCTTTTATTTCAGCCCAGTAAGAATACTCCAACTGTTAAAACTTAGCTGCACGTGCTAGAGATTGGTTCAATTTTTCGAAAATCGATAAAAACTGACTTTACCAAAATTTCGCATAATTTTTGACTAGTAAATTTAATAGTTGCATTGCTTTAGATATTTGTTACTTATGTTGTGTACTGTAAAAATACCAAAAAAAAAATCTTTTAACCAACTTCTTTTTTAAAAATTTTTCTAGTTGATCTAAACAAGTTACGACAAAATCGCCTATATGTCTCTAATATGAGCGTTTGTTTGGCGCATGCATGTGCAATGGGTTTGCTTTAATTTTTTTAGGTATGCGTCTGCCGACGGATCGATATTTGTATTATGTGTATGCCCAAAAACAAAAGTGAGAGAGTGGAATCAAGCGCGTTTGTATGATATCATCTACTTTGAGAAAGGAATTCTCATATGGCCTGTGCAGCTATATATCCTAATTGCTACGCCACCGTAATGTAGGGTGTGATTTGAAACTCTCTCTCTGCATTTAATAAAAGTATTCGCCTTCACCGCTCTCAAATATACTATCACTTTATCTACTTACGGCAACTTACTAGCATACGTATTGTGAGCAGTGTACTGATATGTGTTGGTATTCCTACGAATTTATGCGAGTATGTCACAATGCAGGCGCTGACGCCTTAATGCCAATTATAATGTCTGTGTGTGCTTGAATACGGGGCAAAATACGAATGCTGCGCACTACAACTATATTCACTGCTACGTGCAGTCCGTCGCATACAACAACTCCAATCCTATAGCTAGAGTCTCACTGACTTGATTTAAGAGTGACAGTTTTCTCCTCATACAGTATACTGACGCACGCCTATATTTCTAGGCATCTGGAAGTAATCTGACTGACCCAAAACTGGTTTTCCTTGACGTACAGTTGTCTGTACCTTCATTTTTTTCTGCTTACTACCGTTTTACATTCCTAAAAATATATGCACTGCGACCGACCTAATACGGTGGATAGTATTGATATGCCCATATAAGTGTTCTGTATGTGCAACGCGCAATTTATGTATGTATAAATTATTAATAAAGCAAGGGGAGATCATAATGAGTTTTGAATTATTAGTTGATATATGAGTAAATTATAAGTAACTTTCCAGACTTTTTATTATTACTTTTTTTTTTAATTTTAAGAGTTTTCTTTCCGTAAAGATGATTACATTGTCGAATTGTTTGATGATTTCTGCTTTAAAATTATTGATTTTTCTTTTCGATGACTCAGTATTTAATTCGTGTAAATTATAGTGATTTTGTATTTGATTATTAATCAATTCCAATCTTTTTTCCTGGACATTTTTCTCTTTTATAAACTCCTTCCCATCAGCACCACCAATATATATGTATATCTTCCTATATTATATAGTCGTAAGAGTTAGAGCGAGGTTTTGCTCGTATATATATAAGGTATGTAAGGTAGTTATTCTTTCATTTTCTTGCATTTTTCGAGTAATCCTACTTTTTTGCTAGCTCCCCCCGCTCCCTCCAGCTCCCCTCCCCACTATCCTTCAGCTTCCCCTTATATAATGTAAATACATTCGTAAAGCTTTATATATTAACTGTTACAAGTGGTCTAATTTTCACATGTAATTTCATTTGACCATAACAAAAAATTTCGTCACAATTATCTTATTTACGATGTTTATTTTGACTAAATACTCTAAAATGTCGTTTTAGGTGCTCTGCTCTTACATAACCTTTTTCACAATTTTGACAAATACTTTTTTGAACGTTTTTTTCATGACTTTTCAAATGTCTCTGTAAGTGAAAAATTTCTTTCGAGACTTTTTTCGCGTTTAATACACTTAAAATTTTTTCCAATGTTTTGGTATTCCTTTGTGTGACGCAAATAGTTTTTCTTGTCTAATGTTATAATGTTACACAGATCACATACTGAAAATTTTTTTTTGTGTATTTTTTCGAGCGATGATAGACACTCTTGATTTGTAAATTTTGAGTTACATTTGTCACACTGATAAAATTTTGCATCCATGGCAGTGTATCTGAAAACATATTACAAAAAACGGATTGTTTATGATTACATAAATCTGGGTACTAGACGGTACTGAAATTTGCTTCTTTGATGAAAGAGAAAATTTGCGAGAAAGTATGAAAATAGTAATGAACTATAGAATAGTTTTTTTGTTACTCTAAAATTTTATTTCAAACAATATTTTTAATTTCAAATTTGTTTTCTGATTCAATTTGGATAAAAATTTACAAGACAAAACTAGTAATATGAC